TCAAACCGGCAACATGAGGAATAGACATGGGAAGGGTAGAGGACTCTTATTCAGCCAAACTTCAAAGTAAAATCTGTCCCTCTGACCTTATATGTAGAGACCTGAAGTATCAGCGAAGGTGCAGAGATATCCACGTTGAAGAAGAAAAGTATCACAGGGATTCCATTAGCATATTGGTTTGCTGTAAGATCACACGTACATGCATGCATACTGCCAATGTGAAGTGAGAAAACAACAACAAATAGCCAGCAACTCATGGGATTTAAGAGAAACTTGAGGCACCTCAATTTTCTAGTCTTGTTTCCTTTATTAGCTTTTGATTTACAATTATTCATAGTATCTGTTTATTAATTTACACTTTATCTCAATTCCAAAAGGATATGAAGTGTTACTATTATCACATCTAGTATTAAAGGGGCATGGATAATTGAAATATACAATTCATCAAAAATATCACGCAATTGAGGGAGCACGGTGCTAGAGAAGCAAAGGAGTAGTCTAATTGCAGTTTTTAACCAACTAGTCATTCAACACCGGAGCACACAATGAATTGATGTTTTCACATGTTCATTTGTAAAATGGTGTCAATCACTCAGACAATTGTTAATTCTAAGACTATATTTATAAAATTTATTCCAAGAGTGCATAATTCCTTAGAGTAAAGGTGAGTATCCTTGCTATGAGACTTCTAAGAAGCATCTGCACTCCACTTGCTGTCTATTAACCAAACTCCTGTACTCTTGTGAGTACAGGATCTACTTGGAGTAAATGATCTACTATTTAACCTGCTGGTTATATCTATCCTACTTGTTCAGAGATTGATCCTGAATCCAACCCCATCCAGAATGTAAGCAACCAACAATGTTATTATTAATTAGGATCAAACACTCATCAAATCACTGAACTATCATTAGAAGTACTAAAGGGCTCTAGAGGGAATGGGGAAAATTCTTGAACAAGGTAATTTCAAGGTCCAAATGGATTCTATGAATATAGCTCTCTACAATTCTAGCTGTTGTTTCAGCCACCATATTTCTTCTCTTAAATAGACTGTTGTGTTAGCAATTTCTAGGATGTATAATAAAAGATGATAATAATTTGTTAGAACTGAGTCTAGGCCAGTCACTTAGACATTAGAGAATCTATTAGAAAATTTGTGGTAGAAATAATTTAGATAAATGGGGAATTGGAAGTTGGAATTATGTTATTGTCCCTTGGTTTAAAACTTTGCTTGCAAATTAAATATAAACATACAAATACATATATAATTAGTTTATAAGACATGGAATTGCAAACTTTTTTAGGTTGGGGGAATATTTTCATTGGTTGAATAATTGGAAGTTATCTGCTTATAACACTGTATATAACACTGTCTTAAAGATTTAGACAAAGGCCAGGCAGTGGTGGCGCACGCCTTTAATCCCAGCACTTGGGAGGCAGAGCCAGGCGGATCTCTGTGAGTTCGAGGCCAGCCTGGGCTACCAAGTGAGTTCCAGGAAAGGCGCAAAGCTACACAGAGAAACCCTGTCTCAAAAAACCACACACACACACAAAAAAGATTTAGACAAAGCTTTACAGAAAAATAGCATTTAAGGTTAGACAGAAGTAGCACATTTTACCAGATAAACAGAGACAAAGTGAGGAAAAGTGAGCAAGATTTGAACAGAAAGACATTAACATTTCAAGGAAATTACTAAATGGCAGATAGTTCTTGGTGGCTGTAGACAGGTTAAGCAACCCTGAAAGGGGATCAGCAACAAAGCTACGTGGCAAGAGGCCATGAAGGCCTAGGGCTCAGTGGTTGGCATTCTTCATGTCTAAGCATCCTTTATAATGAACTGCTGGAAGAGAAAAACTATTCCTCTTCAGATACCCCCTCCCTGTGGTGATATAAGCAGGAGCGTGGGTTGTGCCTCACAACATACCAAGGTTACACCCCAGAAGAGCCATGGCCAAGCCAGTTCCATCCTGAGGCAGGACATGACCAGTCCCTGTTGTGAGAACACTATTAGCAAAGCAAAATGGGCAGATACAGAACTGAATGCATTATACATTTCTTTAACTTGTCTACCAGAATGAAACCCCAAGGTTTTCTGTAAGCAAAAGCAAGTATTGGAAAGACAATCATCTTGCTAAAAAATTTGGTCCAGTTAAGAAGCTACGTATGATGGTCGATCTTTACTGTCACCTTGACCAGATTTGGAATAGCCTAGAAGACACATGTCTAGATGTGCCTTTGAGTCGTTTACCTGAGGAGGGAAGACCCACTCTGAATGTGGGTGGTCCTACCCAATAGATCTAGGGTGCAGACCTGAATGAAAAGAGGGAAGGAGAGAACACACTTCATGATTTTTGTGACTTCAGCTTCCTAAGTATAAATTCACTGTGACCTATTGTCTGGTACTCCTGTTAGTGGCTTTGTTACAGAAACAAGCAACATGAATGCTATCTCCTGTGATCACTTCATCTACCTGACTAAATGAAGTGGATGTGTAGACCTAGATGTTTGGCCCTTTCTGGGATTTGGTTTACATTCACAAAGTAAACTCCAAGAAAGTTTTATCAGTATTTCTATGAACAGTATCTCAGAAATTGTAGAGTGAAATGGTTCCTAACACTTGAGCCAGCAGGGGTTCACATCCTGGCTTTGACACCTGATCAATATGTGATTTGGATGAGCTACTAAACTTCTCTGCCCCAACTCCTAATCTCTTGAAAAAGAGAATATTAAAACACGAAAGCTAACATTAAAGGAGTAAGGACCAATAAAGTAGTGAGGGATGAAGTCATTGGATGTAGTGTCTTTATGTCAGGGTCTGACAGTAGTCCTACTGAATAGACACCAAATCAGTCTCAAAGAAGAGGGGTTGAAGAGATAGTTCAGTGACTGAGAGAGTGCCCTGTAGTGGACCTCAGTTTGGTTTCCAACATCCATGTCCAGTGACCCACAACTGCTTGTACCTACAGCTCTAAGAAATTGACCATCCTGTTCTAGCCCTCCATGTAATCCACACACATGCATGTGCATGGGTGTGCACACATACACACATACACACATGTGTACAGAAATAAAAATAAAATAATAAATCTTTTAAAAATAGAAACAAAATCTATTTTGCAAAGAGGAGAATTTGAGTTGGTTCTTCTTCTTGGATTCAACATCACTCTTTTGATCAGATGGTCCAACAAAAGAAGCCATGAAAAAGCAGACGACAAACAAACTTTCCTCCCTGCAAAAGCTCGTAAGTGAAAGGTGAAAACAAGTTTCCAGAGGCAGGGATACCACGAGTCGCAGCCTTTTGAAGCTCACAGCACTTGCTTATAAATAGAATATTAAAACAAGCAAGAGCAATTTTCTCCTTTCGTCTTCCCTTATTGCCTAATTTTCCTCTCATACCATTTGCATAATGGATAAAAAGGCATCCATTATGCAAATGAACGATGGGGCTGCAAGGTTGCTGAAGCCACGAGCCTGGCTCCAGAAGAGGAGAAGCTGCCAACCAGCCCTTTGCCATCTATGTTCTAGCAGACTGCTTTGTTAGCCTGAGTCCAAAATATGCAGGAAAATGTAAGACCGTAGGTCATCAATTCCCTTTTGGTTTGTTTTAAAAGGGGTACTACAAATGCTTTCCAGAAAACTGAGACAAAACAGGGTTATTTGGTTTGCTCATATATATAACAAACAGTAATTCTACTTATTTATTTATTTATTTGTTTGTTTGTTTGTTTGTTCATTTGTTTATTTATTTTGAGACAGTATCTCACTAGGTAGCTTTGGGTGTCTTGGAACTCACTATGTAGACCAGAGTGGCCTTGATCTCACAGACATCTGAGTCCTGCGATTAAAGACATGTACCACCATGGTGGACAATAGTAAATATTGAATTTCAAATGAGGGGCAAAAAGAGCTATGTATAAGTTTTACAATTTAAATATTTCCATTTAGCGCGCGCGCACACGCGCGCGCGCGCGCGCGTGTGTGTGTGTGTGTGTGTGTGTGTGTGTGTGTGTGTGTGTGTGTGTGTGTGTACTATTTCATGCATTCCTAGGTATACCTGTGGAAGTCAGCGGGCAGCTAACATAGTTGGTTCTGTCCTTCTATGTTGTGGGTCCCAGGGATAGACCTATGGTCCCTGCGATTGGCAGCAAGTGTCTTTATCTGCCTATCCTTACCAGACAAACTCTCCAAGAAAAAGCAGATCCTTTTAGAGAAGTGGGGGCTGTGTCTGTCCTTCTGCCTGAGAATTAGGTCGAATTAAGTTCTACCCAGAACAAGGAACAGTCTCATAATGTTGTCTTCACGATCTACCCAAATAATACTGATTTCAAACACTAGCACATTAGTGGGCTGTCAAAAATGACATGCTATTAAACTTACCCAAACTTATCTCTAAGAAGAATCAGGGAAAACAGATATGTTAGGAGTAGTACTTGACAGAAACTTTAGAAGAATGTTTATTTTCACTTCCTATACGTTCAAAACAAATATTAAGAAAAAGAATTCTGAGCAAAATCACCAAGTAAACTGTTATTTTTTGAATAAACCAGCAGGCAAATTTAAATTCCAAAACTAACTTCCCAACTGTTTCCTTCAATGTCTAAGATATATATAGGAAGAAAAACAGGATGCCTAAGAGAGAAAGAGAACCTTATTTCTAGTGTGGATTCCTTGGTAACCCTTAGCTTTTCCCAAGGATGAACTTCACAAAAACAGTGATGCTTCCAGGATACAGGCAAACTTCATCACTTACAGTCTGCTTCCGTGTGATTCTTCAAGGGCATGCAAGTGGGAGTCACTTTGAGTTCAAGACAAAAACTGCATCTCCTTACATGAGCTCCAGCAGCAGTGGAGAGCCATAGAAAAATAAATTTAGAGAGAGGAGAAACCAGATGTTTTTATAGAGAACAATATTAATATGATGAGCTTCACAGAGAAGGAAGTTAGTAAGCTGATGCCATTTGCAACCAAATGGACGGTGTCAACAGCAAAATCCACCTACCTAACTTCAGAGCGGACGGGGTCACTACGATTCCCCCACCGATCGGTTTAAACGCAGCCAGTTGGGCAGCCACTTCTGTCTCGAAAGCATCTGGGCTCTGCCGATCCGCGGAGTTTCCACTGGGGCTCTCAATCTTCTGGAGTGGCTCTTGTTCATCAAACACAGCGATGAGCTGCAAACGAGTCCAACAACACTAATTACTTTGTGGGACATGCTTATCACAGGGACACTGTGTCTAGTTGATTGTGATCTTTACTTGGTCTTAAAGCAAATGTCACCGTAAAAAAACTCAAGTCTTACTATGCTAAGATGCTTAAATCTTCAATAATATGACCCCTGCCATCACAACAGCAGAACATGATGAGGGATTTGCTCTGGTTTGTCTGGTCCAGAAATAGTCAGTTTGGGCCAGCTCTTGTTAAAGGAATGAAATGGTTGCCTCTCACCATCTCTCGTCATCATTCTGTCTCATCGTGTGAGTCTGTCTGTCTATCAATCTCTGTGTGTGTCTCTCTTGTGAAAGATTGAACTTACACTTTCACATATGCTAGGCAATGTTCTACCACTGAACTATACACACAGCCTCACTTGCAACTTTTTCTAATAAGTTACTCACTGCCAGGGTGCAAAATGAAAGCTCAATATACAAAAGATGAACAAAGAATACATTACAGAAGTAAGTGTACATTCAGGTCACAAAGGGGTATAGCATTGCCTCATGACATGTATTTCTAGACACAATCTAAATCCACACATACTTGTAAACATAAGAATATTAATAGCTACAAATAATATGTGTTCATCATATATACATGTGTCTCATTTTTATACATGACTTTCATACCTTTTTTTTCATAATGGATTTTATGGACATTAAATACACTCATTTAATGTATTTGCATATCTTTAATATAAAAAACTGAAATGTCATTTTTCCATGAAAAATGTGACATTAAATTTTTTTTACTAATCACATGAGGCTATGGCACTGTAGGACACTTAAGGCAGACCTGCTGTATGATTATAGTTTGAGTTTGGAGGCTGCACTCCAATAGAGGAATTTCAAGTCTTCCACAATGGCTAAGGTAGAAAAGACCAAATGTGAATTCAGGAGGCAGTTCATGGATGCTACTGTCAATCCAAAGAAGTACAGTCTAACTAATTTTGAAAACTGCTAGTAACTCTTTGGATAGTTTTCATTCATTAAAAAGCAAGTTTACTTATGATTCAGTCATATCCAGAAAGGCACTCAAAGCCCATTCATTGGGGAATCTTGTTGGCAATAGTATTAATAACACAAATGCAGGGGTAACCAATCAAAATGTTGTAAACTCCAACGTAGTCTTTCAAAAGAAATGAACACAATTATGGATATGTAAATTGGCTATTCAAAAATAATTTTCATAATTGACTACTCATTTCCAGTATGGAGACTTCTTTAATTGGAAAACCCAACAATCCATTCACCACAGAAAAGTAATGCTTACTCCCAAGGCATTATTTTTAATTCTTGAAATTGAGCACACGCATTTTCTATCTTTAATTGCTAGCATTGATGAACTGACTTGAGATAAGACTTAAGCAGATTAATAATGAAAGATTATTCTACTATAAAAATAATCAGCAAAACTAGATCTTTCTAATCATCTGGCTAAAATGAAAGGTTTTACACTTTCAATCTTTACATAGAAAATAAAATCAATTTTAAAATGTGGTTGAATTATTTTCTTTATTACTTCTATGCCATAATTATGATAATTATGATTTCAACTTTGCATATTGTGAATTCACATATATTCTGAATGTTCATTATGATATACCCATCAACTAAGCAGCAGAATATTGAATTGGTACACTGAACAGTTTTACATAGAAATGGTATCTTATTTTTCTTCCTTCCTCCATCCTTAACTCTCAGTTTCATCTATGCACTTTAAAATATTGGAGACAGAAAAAAAAAAGAACATCAGTCAGAAATATAAAGCTTAAATTTGATAATTCATAAGTTAAGTCATTAGATATATTTATTCTATAAAAACTTTACTATTGTCTATACATTGTATCCACAAACATTACAAAAATGTGCAGTGACAGTATTACACCCACACATCTAATGGGAAAACATTGCTGTTTGGAGATTTTGTTTCCCACAGTTATGGTCCAAATGGCATCTGGTGACGGAATCAATCGTTTTCTTCAGCTTTCAGTCCAGAATTTTAGCACAGACTATAACACTTCCTCAAAATGAAAACTATGGAAAGAGATGATGCATTATAGAATAGTTCTAATTTGGGAATGGGGATCTTATGTTCTTAGGAAACAAAAACAAAACAAAACCATGAATTCCATTATTTGAAGATAAACCATTACATGGCTGTTTTGTAGATGATTATGGGACCTGGTTGATTCACACATCAAATGATCTCTTCAGTTAATTAATCCCGAACTCTGTCACCCAGTCTCACGGTTTACAGACTTTCTCACAGCAGAGCCTGGGATCACCTGATGAAACAAAGTCTACTCCTGGACAGAATGGACTCATACCCTGACTCTCTGATCCAGCTCTGTAGGACTGACTGACAAGGGCTTCTACCAGCTGCGCTCTCTCTCTCTCTCTCTCTCTCTCTCTCTCTCTCTCTCTCTCTCTCTCTCTCACTACCATGTACACAGACTCACACTTGCTTCTAAACTGGTGAGTCATTTAAGTCACACTCTGGAGGTCCTTGTTAACTAAATGACTTGATTCATCAAGACATCTACATTACTAGGTAGCAAAGTTACAGGGAGACCTTGGTACAGAGGTACAGTGAATAACACAAACTACCATGCTGTTCTCTCGACGAAAGATAGGCTGGTTTCAAAGCATCTATTACATAGGAGAGGCTTTCTGCATCCTCCCCTTAAACATACAGAGTTACCTCTTCCAAGAGAGGCAAGGAGGACATGAAAGAAAGAATTATATTTAAATTTTGACATGAAAATTTTCACATTGGTACTTTAGAGGCTACTCTAACCCAAACTGTAAAGTGCATATGGGAACTATGTGACTTGATATCTTCCCTCTACTCAGTTGATCAGCTGGAATGCCTTCTGTTCGCCTTCTGGGATGCCATTGTTCTCATGCTACCAAGTGTAGCCATGACATTTCCAAACTCCCCTAAACCCACGGGATCTGTTCACATGGCTTGATTACAACCTAAGCTTCTGTCCTCACAGATTTCTGTATTTAGCCATCTAATTTCCAGATACACTTAGGAAGGTCAGTATACAGAAAGGCTACTAATTTGTCTATCCAACAAAAATAAAAGCTTTCTCAGTACCCATTCATGAAAACAGGAACAATGCCATTTCTTGACTGTCTCTAAGGCAAACCTTGAGACTCTGAACAGGCTCTGGCTCAGTGAATCTGCTCTTGTCAAAGCCAAAAGCATCTCCTGGTAGCAGAAGCTAATGCCACCTCTCGCCTTGAGTTTAGGATGCCACTGAGCACTTTGTCATCCTTGGTGTCTTCTCCTCATGTACCTTCCAGAACACAAGACTGCCTAGGTTTCTCCTTCAACTCTCTAAGTCTTCAATTGCATGTCCCTCCACAATCCCTCTTTATTACCTGATCTCTGAAAACGCTAAGGGTCTAAAGTCGGTTATGACTTCACCTGTTTCATGCTTGGTTATGAGTACAGGCAAATAAATTCTACATTTATCAGACTTTCTGACCAAGCTTCAGGACTATGTGAACAACTGGGCATTATCTCTAAAACTGTACAACAAATCTTTCAAAATTCTTTCTATGCTCCTTTATATCGAAATTAAAGGCAATTGGTCATGCCAAAGCTGTGTAGTAATTCTTCACCTTTATTCCTCTCCTACAGCCACACATGCTCAATTTTTCAACACATCTGAAAATGTCACCAGGTTTTGACGAGTTCTTACCACCCTTGGTGCCACCAATTTGGATCTAGTTCCAAGGTGGCTTATACAGCAGCCTTATTGCTGGTCTGTTTCTACCTAGACATCGTCCCTTCAGTGGACCGAATACTCAACTCAGCATTAATGACAATCTTGAAAAAAATCTGAGATCATGCCTGTCCTATGTTCATGTTCAGGTGCGTGTAATACCCTCTTCTCTCACATAGATGAAATTCCACACTCTTTCTATGGCCTCTGAGGTTGTAGGGTCTGTTACACTTCTGACCACGTTTGAGTTACTTTCTTTTATCCCCAGGACTCTGGCCAGCTAGACTAGTATCTTTGTACCTGTCTCAGTGGCTGTTCTAAGCTGTCTTCCTGAGAAAGTTACCCACTGCATCTTGTGAACCTCACTGTGAAGTCACCACATCACTACTCAAACGCCAGGCTTTTGCTGGCACACTACATTTCAGCATCCCACTACTCCCTGTGGTCCACCGTTTATTACTTCCTTAGAGTTTTTAGCACATCCTCAGTGACTTATCTTTTCTCATCTTTCTCACTTCTTAACTGTCTATCCTCACTTTATCAGAATTGAAACTTCAAGAGGACAGTGCTTTTTTTCTGTTTTGGATACTCTGACCTCCTTGAGTTAGAGCAATAAATATGTGTTTGCTGAATAAAAAGAAGTGAATGATAAGGTAAAATATATGCTGAAATCTAACATATCAATTTTAAATTGATATATCCAAAATCAAAATTTGAAAATATTTTAAATTTCTTAAACAATGTGGGGGGGAGCACATGTGTGCATATGTTCTATGTGGCTTTTGTGGAGATCAAAGGACAGCTTTGTGGAATCAAATCTCTCCTTTCATCTTTCACATAGGTTCCATGGACTGAATTCAGACTAGTAGGTTTGCAAGGCAGTCCTTTACCTTTTGTGCACAAACCCACTTTGCTGTCCCTTAAACATAGTTTAAACAAATATATGTGTATTTTCTTATTTCTTGTCATGCATACATACATACATATATACATACATACTCCATATATGTGTGTGTGTGTGTGTGTGTGTGTGTGTGTGTGTGTGTGTGTGTGCAGGGTGGAAAGTGAGGCAGGCAGCATTAATAGCTTGGTCCTAGGTACTCCCTGGAGAACTGTGCTCCAAGATACCATTCAGTGTGGAGGCATGCAGCATATACCCGAAGCAGTCTAAGAACAAATGTGAACGAATCTGGCCAAGCAGAGACACAGGCTGAAATA